AAGTGCGGGGGGAGCCCCTGGGGGGGCAGCGCAAAGGGGGTGCGATGCAATGGGCTGCACGTGGGGATGCAGTGCAAGGAGACAGAAGGTGCAATGCAAAGGGGGTGCAAAGCTAGGAGATGAGGGCACAATGCAAAGGGAGCGCGATGCAAGTGGGATGCAGTGCAAGGAGACAGAAGGTGCAATGCAAAGGGGGTGCGATGCAAGGAGACAGGGAATGCAATGCAAAGGGGGGGTGAGATGCAAGTGGGATGCAGTGCAAGGAGATGGGAGCGCAATGCAAAGGAAGCGCGAAGCAAGGAGATGGGGGATGCAACGCAAAGGGGGTGTGGTGCAAATGGGGATGCAGTGCAAGGAGATGGAAGGTGCAATGCAAAAGGGGGTGCGATGCAAGGAGATGGAAGCACAATGCAAAAGGAGTGTGATGCAAATGGGGATGCAATGCAAGGAGATGTGGGTGCAATGCGAAGGGAGGTGTGATGCAAGGAGATGGGGGATGCAATGCAAAGGGGGGCACAATGCAAGGAGATGGGGCGTGCAGAGGGGAGGGAGCCATGCAAAGGGTGGTGTGAGGAGGTGGTGGAGGTTGCAATGTGAAGACGGGGTGCAAGTAGGTGCGGGTGTGAATAGAAAGGAGGTGCTGATGGAAGAGGGGCAGGATGCGGAGCAGAGTTCCGGGGGCGCGGCCGCGCGGCCGGGCTCCCCGCGCCTGGGGTGCCCCCGTGTCCCTGCCTGTCCCGGCCTTCGCCCTGCAGGGAAATGCCATGAGGCTCAAACGCAGCCGGGGCGGTGGCTGGCACTGCTGGGCTCGGCCCCCCATGTCCCTTGGCTCCGCTGTGCCCGTCCCGAGCGTGGCCGTGCAGCCACTCACAGACACAGGGGTTTTAAACTGGGGCAATAACTAAACAGGAATCACGTCCCCTCCTTTGGCAGAGGTGCAGCCCCCTGCAGCTGCAAAGGGCTTGGATGGTCACGCCAGCTGATTTAAAACGATTATATTTTTGTTTTAAGATGGCACCATCCATCTTCCCGGCAGAGGAAACACCATCCCTGTGGCAGTGATGTGCTGGAAGGGATGAGCAGCCACTGCGAGCGGGGAATTCGCGTGAATCAGCAGCGGGAGCAGGAACCGGCGCCCTGCGTCAGTGCCTCCCTGCTGCCCGCGGTGTCCCAAGCCATCGCACTGAGCTGCTCTAGATATTAAGCAAGAAATCCCGAGTGTTTCCCGTTTTGCAAGAGCTTAATCATGTCTGCGTGGGAAGCCTGATCCATGACGCTTAACACTTGTCCGGGCTGGGTGCTAGGAACACCGCTGGATGCCCAGGACGGATGCACTGGCACTGGGTTTCTTTCTGAAACAGTTCCCGAAGTGAAAACTGGTTCAACGCTCCCTTGAAATAACTGGGTCGGATTTTTCCACCTCCTCACATCTAGATCAATCCACAGCCGTGCATTGGCCGGAGGTCTCTACTTCCCAACTGTTGCACGTTTGCCAGTGGTGGATGCAGCAGCAAATTAACTTCTCCCTGCTTTGGTAGCCTACTTTTCTGGCCTGCTTGGGTGATTAGTCCCAGCAGGATAGTGGCTTTGCAAACTATTGAATGGGCTGGTGCTGTGGGGATAAGTGAAGTTGCTGCAAAATCTGGGAAAAGTAGAAAAACGCTGCTACCTCCTCCTTCTTGGGACACAGGGATTTGGGGACTCACTGCCGAATCCACTTCCCCGAGGAAACTGGTGCCCACAGCAGTGCCCGGCAGAGCCTTGCAGCCTCAGTGCTCTTTCATTTATTTGTAGTTTGTGTGTGAGGAGAGTGGTCCAGCGCCCTGCGGCTTTTTATGAGCCAGCAGAGATGCCCACTGCGAGTCTGGGAACTTGCACCACCTTCGCACCAGGAGGGCCTGTAATTAGGTTTAAGGATCTTAACCTGCAAATGGAGAGCAATGAAACAGGCAGATGGAGCCTTAAGTCCAATCAAGCAAATTATGTAAGTTATAATACGCCAGAGCTTAGCTTATTGGGTCCTGGAGAGCGAGATCAGATGCTGCGTGCAAAGCTGCATCCCTGTCTGAGCTCATCGTTGTCTTCCTCGGGCCCTGGGGACGCTTTCCTTGTGTCCCTCCCTCGCCTCCAGCCCCGCCACATAAATTGAGGATGCTTCTTTGCACTGAAAATCCAGCACCCTTATTCCAGAGGATGCTCTTGGAGAGAGTGTTTCCATGGCATGGAGTTGGATGCGGAGAAGAGGACGCCTTGTTTCCATTCTTTGTGACCGCAGGTGAGTTGCTTAATCACTGCCTATATGAAATGCAGAATGAGGAAGTACCCAGAGCTCTCCTTAACTTGTGTCTGTCACTGGCTCTGAAACAACCCAGCTTTGCCTGCCCCAGTTTCTTCAGCGTCAGCGAGCGAAACTTGTATGTCAAGGGCATCCGAAGCCTGCTTGATTTTTCTGTGGAGAGCTTTAGATCCTCCCTGAGGGAGGCAACTGAGAAAAGTGGATGAAACCCTGTTGTAAGAACGATTGCGATGGCTCCTGAGGTTATTTATTTAATTAAAAGAGCCTGGACAGATGTAGAGGCAACAGTAAACTGTTATCTTCTCCAAGAACTTTGGCATGTGAGGTGAAAATAAATCACTAAAACTAACCCTTGGTCTGTCTCTCGTGGATCTACAGGTAGCATGGGAAAGTCCTCAAGATGCAACATCTGATTTAAGAGACTTTTTGCTCCTTCTGCCTAGGCAGGAAAGGGAAGCTGCTGACTTTTCTTGTGCTGCTGGGATCACCCCGAAGCTGCGGCTTGACCTTCTGAGGGAGCATTTCAGCTATCCGTCACACTTTATTAATAGGCGTCAAAACGTTTAACTGCAGAAAGTAAATGGTATTTTAGAGAAATGGATTTACAGCCTCTGAAATGCTGATTTTCCCTCGGCCGCGCGGAGGGCGCGAGTCGGATCACCGGGAGCCTCTGGCTTTGCAAACACCCGCAGGCTCAGCACAGCGGCCCTGCCGGCGCTGGCAGGACACGGAGGGCAGGTTTCTTGCAAACACTGCCACCGCCTGGCTCTTTCCATAGTTTTTTTTATTATTATTATTCCCAAAAAACTTAACTTTTGGCCAGCAGTGCTGGTTTGAAGGAGACGCTGATAGCCAGGCAGAACGCTGATGGTTTGGTAATTAGGTTAATTAGTTTTCCCCTGGGGGTTCACTCAGAGCCTGAGGCGCAGGGCTCGTGACAGTAACTTCCCGCTGTGCCGCGGCCGCCCCGGTTTGGTGGCGATTGGCGGACACTGGACGGTGGCTGCAGGATGGCAACGAGGCCACGGCCGCCAGGCCTGGAACCCACGGGGGGAGTCGGGCAGAGAGGCAGGTTTTAAGCAGCAACCCCCCAGCTTGGACGCAAGAGGAGGAAGGCAGGAGGAGCCCCCAGGAGAGGGGATGGGGAGGGGGTCGGCGCCCAGGGGGGCGCAGGGCCCTCATGGAGGCGCCCTCCTCCCCCCCCGCGGACTACAACTCCCAGCAGCCCTTTCGCCGCTCCCGCCCCCCCGTCCGCGCCCGTTGGCCGGGCCGCTCAGGACGCGCTCGCCGCTCCCCGTTGGTTCGCGGTGCTGCCAATCCGAGCGCAGCGGCGG